GACCAGGATGGACAGGATTAGGAATGAGCACATCAGAGGGACAGCTCAGGTCGGCTGTTTTGGGGACAAGGTCAGAGAGTCCAGATTGAGATGGTTTGGACATGTGCAGAGGAGGGATAGCAGTTATATTGGTAGAAGGATGTTGGAGATGGAGCTGCCAGGCAAGAGGTCAAGAGGAAGGCCAAAGAGGAGATATATGGATGTGCTAAAAGAGGACATGAAGTTAACTGGGGTGAGAGTAGAGGATGCTGAGGATAGAGTTAAGTGGAAACAGATGATTCGCTGTGGCGATCCCTAACGGGAACAGCCGAAAGAAGAAGATGTTATTTATCATTATTATTTTGCAGTAATCTGTATGTGCATTGATGCTGTAAGCGCTGTATGTGACTTTTCATTTCCTCTGATTCAGTTGTGAAGATCAGGATTGTGATGGTGGGGAAAACTGGATCAGGAAAGAGTTCAACTGGAAACACCATTCTGGGGAAGAAGCCATTTGTAGCCAAAACCAGTCCAGAGTCTGTGACCAAGAAATGCATGAAGTGCAGTGTCATGATGGATGGGCAGGAGGTGGCCGTAATCGACACCCCTTGGTCTGTTTGACACCCGGTTTACTAATGAAGAGATACTGAAGAACATCGGCCAGTGCATTCACCTTGCTGCTCCTGGACCTCATGTCTTCCTGCTGGTCATCAAACTAGATCGATTCACCGAGGAAGAGAAACAGACAGTTCAACACATCCAGGATCTGTTTGGCCCAGATGCACTTAGGTACACCATAGTTCTCTTCACCTGCGGGGATCAACTTCAAGATGGCATTGAGGAGTACATCAGTGACAGCAAAGATTTGCAGGAGCTTGTGGATAAATTTTCCGGTCGGTACCACGTTTTCAACAACAAGTCAGATGAACGACTGCAGGTCACAGAGCTGCTCAACAAGATCCAAAATATGACAGAACAGAATGGAGGAAACTACTACACCAATGAGATGTTTGAACAGGCAGAGAAAGCCATAGAGAAGCAGAAACAACAACTCCTCAGAGAAAAAGAGGAGGAAATCATCAAAGAGCAACAGAAACTGGAGGAAAAACTGAAGGCTAAATACCAACAAGAGCTGAATGAAATGAAGGCTATGAGTGAGAAAGAGATGAAGGAGATGGCAGATAAGCGTGAACAAGAGCTGAATAAAATGAAGGCTATGAGGAAGAAAAAGATGGAGATGAAGGAGATGGCAGATAAGTATGAACAGGAGCTGAATAAAATGAAGGCTATGAGGAAGAAAAAGATGAAGGAGATGGCAGATAAGCATGAACAGGAGCTGAATAAACAAAAACAAATGTTGAAGGAGACAGCTGAAAGGGAGGCCAGAGTTGCAGCAGAGGAAAGTAATCCATTACTTCAGTCTTTCTTTGACATTGGCAAGCAGTTGCTAATTCATGGAGTCACATCATATTTTTTAGGCCAAGAATTAACTGAAAGACTGGTACCAACCCCCGGTGGGCAGGTAAATCAAGCTGCACATGACCACATGGCCGAGTTTCTCTGTTTCATATCAGCCTTGGGTCAGAAAGCCAAAATTTAAGGTCCAACAGGCAGAAATTAAAGGCCAAGCCTTTTACAAGGTGCTCAAAATAGTAAATCATGTCAATAGTAACCTTAGCTGAGGATAGGGCTACACAGGGCAGTGTATACTCAGTCAGTAAACTCACAAAAATACCATAAAGTGCAAAAATAAATACTGAACATAAAGATAATGTTTAACCATAGTAGAATCAATCAAAATCTGACTTTATTCTCACTTTTTAAATTCCTGCCCAGGGTATAAAACACCGGATCCTGCTTTAGTTAGCTGTAGACGTCACCTGTAGACTTCTGACAGCTGTAAATCATGTTAAATCTTTCATTTTGTAAAATATTTTCACATATAAGGCATCAGCGTGTTTCCCTTCATCCTTTGTCCTTGGTGCCATCTTTTTTTCTTTCCTCATCTTTTCTCCAGTCCTTTCTTCCTTCTTTTCATCTTGTCTTTTTTCCTTCTAAGAGCATATTCCTTTTTCTCTCTTATTTTTATGTCTTCTTTATTCCACTGCTTTCACTTTTGACCTTTTCTATAGTCTAACTTTTTCAGCATCTTTTGGATTCTGAGAAAGTGTGGGATCCCCATCCCTCTCTACCTTGCAACCCTCTCTTTGTCTTGTAAACTTCCTGGTCCTCCGTGTTCTCCCCTGAAACTGTGGCCATAATTATGACAAGTTCAAATTGTTAAAAAGTGATGTTAACCATGCTTTTATTATCCCAGGTGTTGAACAACATTTGAAATTGAAGTACTCTGTAATAACAGTTGAAATACTTTTCATTTGCATTTATACGTAGCATTTTATTTTAGTGTTACATTTTACTCTCTTACTTATGTTTGAAAAATCATAGTAGTAATTAAAAGAACACGTACCCTCATATATATCCTTACATATATTCTTCCAATTCATTATATTCTTAGCATGATGTGATTTCTAACGGTTTTTGCCTTTGTCTCAGATCACTAGATATTATGATGTTGATTGTTTTATTATTCTGATGTTTGTTCTTCTCATTTACAGAATGAGGTGCTGGTCCATACATGTTAAGACATTATTATGTACTCTTTATTGATTATATTATAGGAGAATGTAGGAATCACTACAGTATGTATGGTTTGAGTGAAAAGAAGAAGTGTGACTTGTTGTTTACTGCTGATTTTCTCATAACAATTTTCTATTAATCCTGAATTAGTATTTACTCGACATTACGCTTTAAGATGTAATAATAGCTTTAGTTGTAGTAATCCTAGTTGATAGTTAATCATATGTTAAAGTTTACTTCAGTGCCTATAGCTATATATAGGTATAGTTTCATGTTTGAAAATGTTTCACTTCGACGTGCAGTTGTTGCACCGTTGAATGCTCTTTAACTGAAATCCTGACACCTGGTGCAGACAGTGGTGCAAGCCTTCTTCCCTTCTTTTCCTCTGTGACAAGTTATGGTTCTGCTTATATTAAGAAAACAAGACTTGCTGTTATGCACCATGGGTTCGCATGTCTAGAATCTGAAAAAACAAACACATGATGTCTAGGTGCACCTGCTTCAGAAAAAAGTAACACTCTGTTGGTGACAATGGTGCTTTACTGTTGTATAGTTGCCGTCTTGTGTGGAGTGAACTACATATACAATGAGTGATGAATTGTGCTATATACCACTGAGATGAGGAGTCAAATAGATGGACATCCTTGTCATTAGGGCCCTTCTTGGTTGGTCATTGGGTGGACTCAGAAGACCTCCTTGGGCAGTGCACCTGCTAAAATCTGGGTTTTTGACTTTTGTATTTCAGTTTAATTGTTCTTGTATTCCATATAACCAATCTTTTGTAATCTTTAAAAATTCTTTATTAAATTTTTAAACTTCTGATTTTTCTCCGGCTACCTCCTTCAACCACATCAAAGAGAAAAGTCCCTTCCGGGGACTAGGTAAGCAGACCCGCTCCACAGTGGTCACTAGATTAGGATAAGGATAATCACCTTTATTGGCCAAGTATGTTACACACAAGGAATTTGTTTCCGGGAAGAACCGAGGCAGCCATCTGCAGCACCAATTCAACTAATGGCTCGAAACCACTGGGGGCAATGGGGGGGTTCAGTGTCTTGCCCAAGGACACTTCGAAACGTGGACTGCAGGCACTGAGATTCAAACCTTCAACCTTCTGGTTGGGAGATGACTGCTCTACCCACCGCACCACTGTCGCCTCCCATGGCATAATTAATCGCTACTCAGCAAAGCCTCCTATTTAGTTAGAATAGCCTATAGAGGTCAATCCAGTAGTCTGCTAGTGAGCTGCTTGGTGGCACTGCGGTAAATTCTAGTCAATCTCATTAATGACAGTCCATTAAGGTGCTAAAAGTAAAATAAATAAGAACATCTAGAAGACCTCAATCACTGCAGAACTGCTTAACTCTGTAAGGGGACAAGTGGACCCAAACCATATCTCCCACAGCATAATAGAACCATAGGATTCCCTCACTGGTGGGCCAAGCAATTAATGACAGTCCATTAAGGTGCTAAAAGTAAAATAAATAAGAACATCTAGAAGACCTCAATCACTGCAGAACTGCTTAACTCTGTAAGGGGACAAGTGGACCCAAACCATATCTCCCACAGCATAATAGAGCCATAGGATCCCCTCACTGTGGGGCCAAGCATTCAGGCTTTTCACCTGTTTGCTCCCCCGTCTGTATCCCATCCCTCAAAGACAAAGAATTTACTACTCACTACAACATACTTCAGGACACTGTGACAAACATTTTGACAAATGAGCCTAAGAGTTCAGGTACAGTATTTACCTGAGCACTGTATTCTGTAAATTCTTAATAAACTATGGGATTTGAAGCGCAGAATCAGCACAATAATTTCATATAAAATGACATATCTCTATGTATTTCATTCCATAATTATAACATTTTGCATTAAAATCTCATTTTTCAGTGGTAATTTTTATTTTAAAAAATGAGAAAAACAGGAAAACATAGGCTAACATATCAATTTGCTTTATAATAGCTTTAATATAGACTTATTATATCAGTGTTTAATTGTTCTCATCTAAACAAACAAATGGCACCACGATGCCATTTCAATGTCATTTAATCTTCCACAAATCACATTTAATGCACTTTCCCACATACTGTGTTCAGACATCCTCAAGATTCTCAGACCTGCTTTATACATGAAAATTAACTTGACGCTGTACATTTATTATTTACTTGTGATAAACTAGGCATAGTCTGAAAAGATGGTGGGGGCGGGGGGGTTCTTTTGTTTCAGTTCACAGCCTCTAAAACAGACATATAGAGCAAAAATTAAAAAATTACAGTACGAAAGATATTTGAACCATACTGCAATTTGCAAATATAGGAAAACAGTTAATCTATTTTACAGCCAAGACTATTGCTAACAACCCCCAATTAGACGTCAACAATGTGGAATCTTCTAATCAATCAGCAGTAAAATATCAATGAATGTGTTCTGAGTCCTACTGACGCCCTATTCCAACATTAAAATGTAATTTGTATACACTGTGTTCAGTGTTTCCTCTGTTATCATATGCAGCTGTGAGGTCTGAAGGAAGACATCTGATAAAGTTAGGTTTCAAGTTGGGGTTACACAGTAGGGCACATTATTTTAAAAGATAAGACTAATATTGAAACGTACAGTTAAATGTGACGGTAGCATCAGTTTACAAATCTGGTTTTAGATTTTCTACGATTGTGGAGTAGCAATGTAAACTGAATACAGAGCAAACACTGGTCACATGTCACATCTCACCAAAGAGGGAGTGTGGGGGAAATCTATACAGTATTTATTAAGAACATTTCCACACCCTGTTATCAAACAATAAAAGCAAGTATTCCAGTTGCAAAATTATGACTTTTGATCAGATTAAACACATCATTTATTTGGAGCAGTGAAACATTGTCTTTGGGTTTATGTTTGTTTTACTCTTTCTATAAATTAACCACATTAACCCCACTCAGGTCATTCTATAAAGTAGATAAAGAAAGCATATATAGTGTCATGTCTGACAGCTGCTGAGCTTGGCCAGACTTTGAGGGGCACATCAAGCGTGACTAAGCTGGACATCCGCATCATTTCTAGCGCTAAACATGAAGAAACACAGCCTCTCTTTCTTATTCTGTCACTTTGAAAACAAATGTGGAACACATCTTCAGACCAACATCAGAGCTCTGTAATGAGCAGTACTAAATACAGTTAGACAAGAGCTGTGTGAATCCTGTCCTGTCATTTTCCAAACATGTAATTTAACATACACATGTACATCGAGGCCAGTGTAAGGCAATGTTCTCTTTTCCAAAAAATAAAAAATAAAAAATAAAAACCAAACACACCTCCAGGGTCCTACTGTTCAACACGTTATTGTTCTATTGTGTATAAAAAAATGGAAGCAAATTTATTAGTCATGAAGAGGCATTTTACTGAAAAAGCTATAACAGTGTATAAGCACGAAACCCATTAATTCTCACTATTTTAATCCTTTACAATATAAACTGACCTTTACATGTTGCTATAAACCTGAGTTTGTTCAACTTGACAAACTGGATAAAGCTAAAAATTGTTTTCTTTAACTCACCACATAGTATATTAATAACAATGTAAAAGTGTAACATCTTTGCAATATTCTATTGTGGCATAATTTCCTGTAGAAACTGAGAAACAGTAGCTTTATAACATGTAAAAAGAAAACTAAAAGGGTTTAAAAACTGAAGACAAACATTTCCCCTCCACATGCACATCCTTGTTAGAAAACAATTCAGTTAGATTTAAAACAACACTGCACTACTCTTACATAGAGAAACTGGTTACACAAGCTTCATCTGGAGTCATATTCTTACCTAAACTGAGATTTATTACAAGTGGCCGGTTCATTTTGTGCAACACTAGTTGTTAGGTCATGTGGCGCGGCCAAGCTGTGAATAACAACATGCATTAGAAAAGGAGGTCTATGGTATGTGCTGGAGCGAATGAGTGTATAGAAGCGGGTTCATGCTGAGAGTTGGATTTTGGTAAAACTGACCAATGCAAGAGCTGCATGTGCTTTAATACTAACAAGCAGACCTCCTCCTGGGTGAAAGATTCTGTTACAATTAACAAGTGTTGCGAGAATCTTAAATGTCTAGCTAACTTACAAATCCCTTAACTACCTTAAAGTATGGTGTAATAACAGCACACCCGATGAATGAAAGACCCTTTTTAGGTTAAATGAAGTCATCTCATTGCAGCTAAGTTCCGGCCATCAGACCTCCACTCCATCCTTACCAATGAGCTGGGTGGTGTCATCATCACCATGGTGCCTGTCCTCTCTGCCTGTGTCATCACTCTCTGAGTCTGTGTCCTCCTGGGGGGAGTAGCAGCCTTTATACTCCAGGATGGGTGAGTCGCAGTGTGTGGGGGAGGTGAGGCACTGGGCAGTAGTAGTGTTGGTGGTAGCTGAATAGGCTGCTGGGCTACCTGAGGGGGACCCTGGGTTGGAAGGCCGAAGCAGAGGAGTGCGCTCCGAGTCTGCTTCACCCTCCGTTCCTTCTTCCTCCCTACGCCCTCCAGTTTCCTCCTCAGACTCAGACTCTGACTGCTCCTGGTTCCGAGTAACCCGCTGTTTGCACACAGGACACGTCTTCTTGGTCTTTGTTAGCCATGGGTCCACACACTTGCAGTGGTAGGCTGAAAAGCAAGAGGAATTTCAAAAAATGCGAGAAAGACCTGCCAAAAGACAAGGACTGGTGTTGAGTGAATAAACATGTTCGGAAATGAACACAGAGCTGGTGCCAACACACGGCCGCACTCACTCAAAGTGCAATAATGTACTTTTGAAGATACAGTAGGTACAAATATTGTATGGACTTGTACAAAAGGTACTGTATGTGGCAGATGTGCATGTTCTATGTATAAGCAGAGGTGTTTTCTTCAAACACCATAATAACATGATAACATATATATTTACCATGTGAACAAGGCAAAATGCGTAGTTTGTCTCCTTCTTCATATTCATCCAAACAGATTGCACATACATCATAGTCATCGCCTGAAACAGTGGAGAAAAGTTATTAACTTAATTCTTTGAAATGTAAGAAAATCTACTAATGAGTAAAATGTCAGCATAACAATTCTATCTGTAAAAAGCTCCACAGATAATAAAAAAAAAGACCGCTGGAACTGAAAAACTATATATTACAGTAATAATAAAATTGTGTTACCTTTCTTGAACTTGTGGGTTGGAATCCGTTTCAGCTGTTCCTTGGACAAACGATTTTTCCTCAGCCTTTTTCTGTACTGTACACATCGTGTAATCTGAATAACACAAAAAATGTTACTGATAGCAGAAGAATTACACAGATATTTTTTAGGTCTGTATAATTAACAATTCAAAGCTGATCTCTGCTACCCGTGGTGCAATTATAATGTAAGGATTTCACAAATGTTCTTTGAATTCTTAAAAAAAAAAAATTACTCGCATCCTAAAAGGTATATTAAAGAATGTTCTGCAGATTTAATAACCACCCAAGGAGACACCTCATCACACATACTTACCAAGACAACACACATCACAATAATGATGATGCCAACTACTACACTGAAGGGAATAAGGTAGTATGAGAGTGGGAAAGAAAAGTCCGGCTTGAGGATCACATATGCTCTGCAAACCAAGAAAAGAAAAAATGCATCACTTACCAGTGTTATCCTAAACACTAGCACTGGAAAAATCTGTGTGCTTGTCTGTACAAATTTCATGCTGACCATTAAAGGCTGGTTTGGTTTAGATTAATACTTAGTCTGAAAATTTTTTTCATAGCTATTTCTAAAACTGTTCAAATGTTTCTACTTACCCTTGCTCTGGAATGATAAAACTCCTGAGAATATGAGAGGCATAGTAGCTGGTGAAGACAGAGGGGATCCCAATTTCCTCTGCAAGAGTGTCTGAACAACAAGATTTCAATGTTAGGCATTGTAGTAAGGTATGGTATGAATGTGTAGAGTTTAAAACTGTGCGCATTTCACAGAGGAAAATTACCATTGCTGTAGTTCATATTAAGCAGAATGTCTGAAAACACGTTGTGAACGATTGCAGCATTATATCCAGCTTGTTGTGCATGCCAGACCTGAAAACCAATTCTTCACATTAGACCAGTTTACTTCACAGACACAGGAAATATTATGCCATTCAACCTTTATAGACCTTTATATCAAAATTGCAGTCATAGCGTTTGATGAGAACGATGAATTTCGTGGTGTTGGCATCATAAATTGGCGGCAGTGGAGGAGGAGGGTCTATTGCTGTGCAGGCATTAAGTGGATGGGACAGCACCAAAACACCCTTTCACAAAAAGAAAAAAACGTTATCATAAAGGACTGTGACTGGTTTTTCTGTACAGACCCTCTCTACTATACTCACCTTTAGCCCGTCCTTAGGAAGTGGGGATCCAAACAAGGCAGGCAGATCCTCAAACAACATTGTAGTCATATTGCTATAATGCTGCAAAAACAATATATAGAGAAAAGAACTCATAAACTCCAATTTGAGGAATAATATGTGTAGTTAAAGCTTAGCGCTTACATTACTTACAGCATAGATATAAGCATGTGTGGGTGATGGAACCAGTAGGCTGATGAAAACTAGTACAAGGACACTCAGTCGAGCTCCCATGCCCCACACACCAAGGTCAACCATCCTTTGTTGCTTACAGTTGCACCAAACTGTGAAAAAGATATGAAAGTAACACTTCATATTCAAGAATGAGCAATTATTCACAATCAGAAGGAAAAAGCCTCAGGTCTCAGGCTGAAGGGAATCTTGCAGTTGGATCAACATCCTTATGCAAATAATGAAATCAGGTGGTAAAACTGTGTAAATATGTACATGCGCATGCAAATAAACTGTGAACTGACTCGCCATGTACTCTTTATCTTCATGGAGTAGTAGAGTACACCTTTGGTCAAGTACTTTTTAATTGATTGCAATTCTGTTGCTTAGTGGGAACACAATTTAAACATTTTTACACTAACAACAGGGTACATATAGCATAAAACAGAGTGCCTTGGACTGACTTTTAACTGCAGTCTGCAGAGGAATGCTGAGTATATTTCTCTGCAACACAATCCCCCTGATGAAGTTATCTGCAACTGGTCTCAACTGTGAATGTGACATCTCAAAGGACAAGTTAATCAGTTTGTTTTTCTTGGTGTTGTCATTTAATAGTTTACTCTTAAAAACGAAGCCTTTAACCAATCATCTGGCTTATAAACCATTACATCTTTCAATTTCTTTAACTATTTTTTTCTTGGCAGATTTTTTGTCATTTGTGTTGTTGCCATTATTTCGATACTGCTATGACCCATTTAAATCTTAATTTTCTCATATTCATGTTAAATATAAGCAAACAAACAAAGTGAAACAACAGTCAGTATACAAGTGTGTGTGCGCTAGGAAGTTTTCAGCTCTGTTTTTATTTGTTTACTTTTCTACTAAACATATTATATGAGCCATCTGTCATACCACTGTTTTCCATTATTGCTTCAAGTTCATGCACACAGTCAGGATAAAATTTTCTTGAGTCAAGATAAAGCTATTTGCTGCCACTGTTTTTGTACATAATGAAAAAAGAGAAACTCATCACAGTGATGAGCCTCACTCGAGAAGCAGTGTGAAGTACTTATATTTTGTTTTATTTTTGTATATCTCTTTATTCCAGGAAAGAACTTTAACAAAGGTCAAAGTTTTTACTACAACCCTGCTGATTATTTTTTATACTAATTCTGTCAATGTAATAATAATAATAATAATAATAACACACTACAATTCAGGTACCAAATGCAATATCACACTCCCATGTAAAGGTATTTCATGATAAGTACAGATTGGGGTGGACCAGACCTACAGATTGTCCACAAAGCAGACTGTTCAAAAACTCACACACATTCACCACAATTCAGGCTACATTTGGAGGCCTTTATGCAACTACAGAGTGCAGACACGTATTGGCCTCAGATTTACTTAAAACTGGTGTTTTTGTATATATGTAAGATGATAATAATAATAATAAGTCTTTATAAGAAAACAATGACATGTAATGGTCAGATTATTTGTGCAAACAGGCAAGATAGCAAGGTTAACAGAACAAAACGATAAGCTAACTATGTAGATCAGCCTCTTTGTGATACAAGTAAAGTATTACAGTACCTTGATAGCAGGTCTCTTGTTTATACTAAGAGGACTGTTCGTGTTCTTTAAAGACAAGCTGAAAACACACGTTTTATCACACATGTTTAATCGACGGAGCACCTTTCGTTGGTATAGCTATCGACATAACTGGTGAACAGAAATATGCTGCTGTCGCAATGCTAAATCTGTTCAATAAGCTATGTAGCCAATACTATTTCCTCATCACGCCCCGAGGACTCACTGGACTTTGAACCACTAGCTTAGGTTAGTTTTAGCTTCAGTTATGTTTGTGTTCTTTAAAAGACAAGACCACATAACTAGCTTCAGTTATATTTGTGTTCTTTAAAGGATAAGACCACATTAAAAGTCACCAGTGTAACGTTAATCACATTGTGTGTTGTTTGCTAAATAGTGTTAACTTGCCTCAGTTTCTTGCTAATATCGGCTCCGCGAATGTTGTAATCTCACTCCTTTGACACACTATAAAGCCGATAATGATTGTTTTTTTTTTCTTAACAAATTCTATCCGCTGTCTCCACAGTCCTACATCTCAAGAAGCCAGCCATAAAGACAGGAAGGATTACTGTTAACGCGTTAAGTTAACCTAGCTGGCTGATGGCTGGCTAGTCTTAACAAAGACAGGTAATAAAGCTAACAGCTACGCTAAGTCGTCTACGTGACAGAATACTTAGTGTCCTGTTTGTAGTCTTTACCCAGTAAATAACATATTCAACAATAAAATGTCCCACCACCATAAAGGAAACAATTTGCCTGCGTACTTGCTTTCCCAACTTGCGTTAGTCTGCTTCTGGGTTTGTTTATTATTGTTTCTTGTATTCTGGTCCTTCTTCTTCTTTCTGGAATTACCTGCCTGTTGAGGCACAGCGCCACCTGTGGACAGAAGTACTGAGCGCCCACAGGCTTCATCATGCAGTGTAAGCTCATGAAGGGAGTCAGGCTGCATTTCACAGTAACGGTTAATAAAAACATGAAAAATTGAGTTCGCCATAGACTCAGATAGAGACACTGGTTTAACTGCATTCAAATGATTCCAGTTATTCAGGCCCCTGTCTGCAGACCAGCTTCCACACATTACACGAGTGAGTTTCTGGTTACTCGGGCATGTTACAAGAGACTGGCCTCCTATTAGAAATCTTATGTCCGACATGATTTTCGAAAAATTTTAATATAACACATTTGGTCTGTAAAATGGTTTATCTAGTTGGGTGCATGAATGTGTATGCGAAACTTGCAGAGATTAAATTTACAGACCAAATCTAATGACAAAGAGTTTGATATTTTGATCTCACAGGTGTGCAAATGGTGGAGGCAGAAGTAAGGTCAGGAGCTCACCCAAAAAAGGTTGATCTTTTGCGAAAGTTTCAACAAACTTTATGGAAATCTGGTTGCTGGTTCTCATGATAGCTTGATATGAACTAAAGTGCTGGTTAAGGGGACATTTTAGCCAAACTGTTAAAAGGTCAGGGAATCCCCACAATCATTAAGACAGTCTTCTGAGAATCACGGTTAACAGAATCAAATATCATGTCAGTCTGGCTGTGTCCTGCAATAAGCCTATCCTATATGCTATATATAAGTGTTAGCCCAACTTCACAATCAACTGAATATACTATTGGAACGCTAGAGGTCCTGCCAGGGCTTAAAAACATCAAAAACAAGACATGTCTAGGCAAAGAACTGAGTGACAGCCTTTCAAAAATGTTTTACCATTGCCTGCCAAATACTATACATGCTTAGATCTCATTTTTTCTTGTGTTTTTTATCAAAAGATTAAAGGCTGGCTGACTAGATTGAGAGTACACCTCATATACTGTATGTGACAACGCAAAGTATCTGGACAGCTTTGCCAACACCAGTTGAGTGTGCTCCTAAATTTCTCACTGGCAAGTTGCCTGCTATTGGGAGTTATATTTACATCACCTGAGAGTCAGATGACCCACTGGTGATTAGAGACTGAGGAGTGTCTGATTATGTAAACATAATGAAAGTAAATATAAGTAGACAGAGCTCAGGGAGTGTAACTAAACCTCAGTTTCCCCATAATGCCACCTAAAAGCAAACTTCCCATGATAGTTTGACCCTATTAATATGATTCCTGACCATGAACACCAACTCCTAGCATTTAGAATCACAGTGATTTCATTGTTAGTTTGAAGGTCTATCAAAAGGGTTGGATCTTAGCTGTACATCTGTAGCATCATTGGTTGTCTCACAGTAGCAAGTTTACTGTGAGCCCTGTAAATGTGAACATTCAGGAACTGCACATCTGGAATATTACTTGGATCCAGCTCATAATTTGGTGTGTGGTAGATCTTACGTGGATGTTACTGTGCAATTTTTGTTGAAGCATTCTAGGCATGGTGTATGGAGTTACAAGTAAAAATATTGAAATTGGTCTTATCATAGAATGGTGAAGAATACTTTCAAAAATTCCTGGATCCAGATGATGATTTAATGAATTGTTCCGTGGGTGATAATCTATTTCTCCTAAACATTTCATCAAAATCCATTAATCATTTTTTGAGCTATGCTGTGAACAAAGCAACGGCAGTAAAGACATTACCTCCCTGGCAGGGGAAACAAAGTGTATCCATTTATATTATTTTAATCAGTATTGTCTGCATACGTTACACATTGCCAAGCACATCAGAAGAAGGACTGAAAACATCAAATCTCTATAATGTTGTTTGTTATATAGTATAGTAATGTGTGCATTTATGTAAATTATTGCATAAAAATGATGTAATTATGTAAAACCAATAAAATACAACAAAAAAAACAACAACATCAAAAGTTATTTTTCTTCCTCCCTGTAGATCTTGTCAGACTTCCTCTTCGGCAGCCATCTTTTGCAGTCAGACTCAGTAGTTTGAATGCATGGACAAGGTTTTATTAAATATCCTTTACTGGCTCTGCCACAGATAAAGTCACAATAGCATGGTGCACAACACTAACATTTTCAGAGATCTTAAGAAATCAGCAGCTGACATTTGTCTTGTAAGTCTGCCCTAAAGCTTCATGCATTATAGACCTAAGGCAGACTAAGCTAAAGCAGTCAATAAACAGCTGTTTTTGATGATCACATTGAGAATTGATGTCTTCTGGTTCTCTCGTCTTCTGTAATGCTTGAAAAGTATTGGAGTATATCTGAATAACACCAGACATGCATTCCTATCTCATGGTGTTTTGCTCTCATAGAAAATGAGACATGCAGCATCTAGAAACAAAAAAGTATAAATAAAATGTATAAATCTATAATTAAGTGCCATTAAAAAATAAATATAAAGAATATGTTCATATACTGAACCTGAACATCAAAACTTACAAGAACCCTTTCCCACAGTCCAGAGGTCCAAAGAACAGCTCTGTTGGGAGGCAAACCTTTCTACACACTCCACATAGAATGGGGCAAGACCACGGAAAGGATGCAGTTCCATTCTTCACATCTGTAATCATAGTTGGGAAACATTAACTATATTTCATGCAAAATGTTTTTTGCATTAAAAAGTCAGATAAAAAAAAATTGTAATCTCTGGAAGCATAATCATCTGTGACGTGAGCAGCAAAAACATGCAGAGATATCATATCAAGACTTGACTTACCATTAAGCAGCAAGACAACCAAGAGCACCAAAACACCCACACAGTAGCAAGTCATTCTTGCATCCGATGATATTGTTCCCAAATGAAGATTAGGCTTGAGCCTGTATTTTGGTCAGCTAGGAGGAGTGATGATAATATGAAGCTGCATATTGGTCACCAGGTTTATATTACAGAATTATAAACATCCTAAAGAGAGCATGCTTTTCTTAATCACATTTAAAAAAACTACATTGCTGTGCACAAATCATGAACTCGTGTTGTCAGGAGATAGGATACAGACTGGTCTTGTCTTGTAATTTAAAACACATACACATACTTTGGGTGGCTGTGGCTCACAAGGTAGGGCAAGTCGTCTTCTGACCAGCAAGTTGGTGGTTCGTCTCCCGGTCCCTGTGTGCCTAAGTGTCCCTGAGCAAGACACTGAACTCCGAATTGCTCCCGGTGGCTTGACTAGCGCCGTTGTGTGGCAGCCTTGTCATCATCAGTGTGTGAATGGTGTATGATCCCCTGTAAAGCGCTTTGGCCAGTGCAACACACTGTGAAAAATGTGCTATATAAATAGTCCATTTACCACTAGTCTTCATTGCTTTCAGAGACTGAGGACATAAACAGACAATGTATTTTAATAATATAACTGTGGAGAACATAACTGTGGAGAACATGATGCAGTGTTCCTCATTTTCTGACTGAAACCTACCTCTCAGGGATGCAGCAGCACAGAACTCTCTTTGCACTAAAACACCTAATGTTGTAAATGTTTATTGTTTGACAGGTTTATTCAGTTTTTTAAAGTTTCCCATCTTGCATACTGTTGTACTGTATGATACTTACACTGCAGATAGTCCACTAGTGTCCTGTGCCAATTCTCTTCTGTGTAATTCTTTGTTGATTGATTATAACACTTACCATATCCTATAAGTAGGTCTGGGGCTTTGTATTTACTGGGCATGTGGGTACTATGTTTGCATATTATTATCATCCTCTCAGTCAACCTTTTCAGTAGAAGTACTGTCTAAAAAATAGTCTTAAAAGTGATTATAAGAGAAAAACATTTAACAATGGATCTTAACTGTGCCCATACCAGACTTTATTTAATAAAAAAAAAAGTTATGTTGCTGCAATGTGGCACAACTGTGTAATGTAAATTTCAAATGACATGGCAATGCGTTACACTTATACAAAGCATGCTTGTACATTAAACACTTAATAAATACAGCTATTCCTTTTTATGCTGTGAACACTTTTTAAAAAATCAACTTTTCTGGGGCAAATTTTAAAATGTCTTAAAACATAATGTGGTAGAGGCAATGGACACTAGTATTCTCCTGACGAACGGACTTAGAAATACAAAACTTTTTTTTTTTACAATCAGGTAGACACCATCCATACAAAAATAGACAACTATTCTGATCATTCCTTTGTATGTACAATGCTAGTTCATTATCGCCAAGCATTATATTCTGCCATTATTTTTTAGAACAACTTGCTTTCCATATTTTCTCTCATCTCCTGGAAACGTACAATGTACATTCACAATCACTGAGGCACAGCACTTGATTTACAATTTGTTTAAGTACCCCAAAACATTGTGTAGTCACTGTAATGTAATATTAAATATAGATATACTGTATATATGCTTAACACCCTGTACACTCATAGAACAAACATAATCATCTAGGCATGCTTAACAAAATGTTGTGTACATCCAAAATAGTTTTGCTTTTAATTCCTCTACTGAACCTTACTGAGGGGCTGTACACAGCTCCAGCAGAATGTTCAAAACAATTCAACAGAAGCAAATGGAGGTGGCCATGCATGAAAGTGATGAGGTACAAAACTCTCTGACAAGTCTTTGACAGGAATACAAAGTGCTTCTTTGCCATAATACCCTGTGAATCTGCAAGTTATTTTAATCAAGCCAGACATCTTTTGTTGCTTTTTGTGGAAGCCTTCATCTTTGAGAGATCAGGTGCAGAGGGACACCTAGTCTTTGTGCTCATGCACAGTAAGTGAGGTTGAAGGAGCAGTAAAAGGAGAGGACATGGAGAGCTGAGCAGGTAAAAGATGGGTTTGGTGCCTTTTATCTCAAGCAGTGGTATGCCAGCTTTGTGAGGCACAGGCAGAGGCGATGAGGTCACGTAGTCCTCATAGGCTACCCTAGGAAATCCAGCGTCCGGTTTGTGTCTTGAAGGGGGACATTCTGTGAGAAAATGTAGGTTGTATTTAGTAATACAACAAAGACAACACAT